GACACCCCGGCGTCCACTGGCTGTTCAAAAAAGTTGGCCACACAAAAAACCTGCAGAAAAAGAGAGCAACAACATTACAGTGTGTGTTATTGTAATTGCACTGTGAAGATTGGACCTTTCACTTTACTTTACTATTTTATTGAAGCTTTAGATTAAACTTACTACGAAAACGGCCATTAACCCCCCTTGCACGATGCCAGTCAGCACATCACTCCAGTGATGTTTGTAGTCAGACACCCGGGACAGACCCACATACACAGCAGTTGCAATCAAGAAGAACTGAATGGTGGGACGCAGAAGCCGCGCCCATTCTGATGTCAGTCTCGCTTGAATGTACAGCTATGGTAGCATGAAGGAGGAAACAAATACATTTTACAAGCAAATAAAGCTCAAACCTAGGCATACAGCCTTTATTATCCAAGCCAATATTTAGACTGTAGGTGTGAGCAGCTAATGCCTTTACTGAAAACAGTTATGTAATAAGACAGTGTTAGCACGCTTATATGTATGCCAAATTCAAAATAGTTTTTTTTTAAACAGACAATAAGAACTTACTGCAAGGAACAGCATGCAGTACATAGAGAAGGAAGAATGACCAGAGTAGAAGGACACCCTACAAAAGATAAACAAAAAATATACTGCATGAAATTAGGCACCTTTGTCCTAATCAAGTCACTTTTCATGTGAAATGCATATTTTAGGTTAATACCAAAAGTCTATCATAATCACACTGTATCGCTGTCAAATTACTCTCCTGCTATAAAGTTAGAAAGATTAAGGGGTATTCCGCTAATTGTACACATTGCAAAAAGTGCAATTTAGTCAGTGAATACAGTTGTATAATGTTTCTCAGTATTTATCTGAGAAAATAACTACTGATATTATCAGGATTATTTCAGGTCGGCCTTTGAGACTACACATTTTTTTAACAAAAAGCCTCAATTGGGGGGAACAGAGTCTGAAACCCGTGGGTGGCTACCAGAGTAATATCTAACAAAAAGACACTATTACACACTTTATAGTTAGAGTGAATGATTTAGTGTTTTTGGAGCTTGACACACACTAGGGACTGAAAGTCAGGATGTCTCAGCCAACTGTGTCAGTTTTGACTATTCTCTTTTTAACCTATGTCTGTCGAGTCCCACAACTTTACTGAACTACAATGTTTAATCACTGGAGTATCTTTTTAAATAATGCAAGTAACTGGAGATTCCTCCCAGCAAGACTGCAACTACTACACAATGCTGATAATGTTATGATGTAAACAGAAGAAATGACACATGTTGGGATTTTCAGAAGTGGATCGTGTGGGTTTCATATAATTCATGTTCAGGACCATTACCTGGCCTCGTCTACCAGAAACTTGTCTCCGGTGCAGGTGATGTTCTCGATGTAACCACCAGTTTTGCAGTTGATGCGATCTGGTTTGCACACAGCCAGGAAGTCTGGCCGCAGACGACCGATGGAGTACTTGGCGATGTCTGTCAGAGACTGGCTAGCAGCCATTCCAAAAACATAGCTGCCCACAGCTTTGTAGATACATGCCATATACTTAGTCCCTAATGACTGGTTCTTGATGCGAGAGAAGTAAACAGAAAGGAACTCGCCACAGAGAATCTGTAACGGAATATATTAACTCATGTGTAAACCAGTCACACACTTTGACCCAATATAAGATACAAGCAAAAGAGTCAAATATTTTTCTCTGCCAATAAGGAAGAAGACTGTTGTATTTACCATGATCAGTACAAAGGGGATCATGACTCCTGCCAGCAGTGGGTAGGGTATGGTGTCGTCTTTGAGGGGGTATCTGATGGACTCATCATCACAGAAAAACCCTCGTTTGAAAGGGTTGTGTAGAGGAGTAAGGATAAAAAATGGAAGTCCAACTGTTAACATGAAAAAAGAGGCAGATAATGACAATACATTTCACCTCACTGACAGATTTCGATCTTGCATATCATCCAAGTGTACAGTGGGTACGGAAAGTATTCAGACCCCCTTAAATTTTTCCCTCTTTGTTATATTGCAGCCATATGCTAAAATCATTTAAGTTCATTTTTTCCCTCATTAATGTACACACAGCACCCCATATTGACAGAAAAACACAGAATTTTTGACATTTTTGCAGATTTATTAAAAAAGAAAAACTGAAATATCACATGGTCATAAGTATTCAGACCCTTTGCTGTGACACTCATATATTTAACTTAGGTGCTGTCCATTTCTTCTGATCATCCCTGAGATGGTTCTACACCTTCATTTGAGTCCAGCTGTGTTTGATTATACTGATTGGATGTGATTAGGAAAGCCACACACCTGTCTATATAAGACCCTACAGCTCACAGTGCATGTCAGAGCAAATGAGAATCATGAGGTCAAAGGAACTGCCTGAAGAGCTCAGAGACAGAATTGTGGCAAGGCACAGATCTGGCCAAGGTTACAAAAACATTTCTGCTGCACTTAAGGTTCCTAAGAGCACAGTGGCCTCCATAATCCTTAAATGGAAGACGTTTGGGACGACCAGAACCCTTCCTAGAGCTGGCCGTCTGGCCAAACTGAGCTATCGGGGGAGAAGAGCCTTGGTGAGAGAGGTACAGTAGAACCCAAAGATGACTGTGGCTGAGTTCCAGAGATGCAGTCGGGAGATGGGAGAAAGTTGTAGAAAGTCAACCATCACTGCAGCCTTCCACCAGTCGGGGCTTTATGGCAGAGTGGCCCGACGGAAGCCTCTCCTCAGTGCAAGACACATGAAAGCCCGCATGGAGTTTGCTAAAAAACACCTGAAGGACTCCAAGATGGTGAGAAATAAGATTCTCTGGTCTGATGAGACCAAGATAGAACTTTTTGGCCTTAATTCTAAGCGGTATGTGTGGAGAAAACCAGGCACTGCTCATCACCTGTCCAATACAGTCTCAATAGTGAAGCATGGTGGTGGCAGCATCATGCTATGGGGGTGTTTTTCAGCTGCAGGGACAGGACGACTGGTTGCAATCGAGGGAAGGATGAATGTGGCCAAGTACAGGGATATCCTGGACGAAAACCTTCTCCAGAGTGCTCAGAACCTCAAACTGGGCCGAAGGTTCCCCTTCCAACAAGACAATGACCCTAAGCACACAGCTAAAATAACGAAGGAGTGGCTTCACAACAACTCCGTGACTGTTCTTGAATGGCCCAGCCAGAGCCCTGACTTAAACCCAATTGAGCATCTCTGGAAAGACCTGAAAATGGCTGTCCACCAAGGTTTACCATCCAACCTGACAGAACTGGAGGGGATCTGCAAGGAGGAATGGCAGAGGATCCCCAAATGCAGGTGTGAAAAACTTGTTGCATCATTCCCAAAAAGACTCATGGCTGTATCAGCTCAAAAGGTGCTTCTACTAAATACTGAGCAAAGGGTCTGAATACTTATGACCATGTGATATTTCAGTTTTTCTTTTTTAATAAATCTGCAAAAATGTCAAAAATTCTGTGTTTTTCTGTCAATATGGGGTGCTGTGTGTACATTAATGAGGAAAAAAATGAACTTAAATCATTTTAGCATATGGCTGCAATATAACAAAGAGTGAAAAATTTAAGGGGGTCTGAATACTTTCCGTACCCACTGTATATCATGTTACACAGCCAGCTGCAAACACTAATGTGACTCAGCCTGATGAGCCTCTGCTACTGTTACACAATGTGCATGACATGATTCAGGAAATTTGTCAGGATCTCACAAGTATTTCCCCTCCTAAGAAAAGAATCTATGGGTTTATTTGAGGAAATTCATTCAGTTCAAGGACATAAAGTTACACAATAACTCAAACACTTGAAACCTTCATTTATTACAGAACAATATCGGATAAACAAAACACAAGAACTAATGTAGACATATTAATACTCTGTTGCAGACATACGGGTCATATGCTTAACTTTGGATAAAAGAACAGTGATTCAGTTGACAAGATTAATCCTCGTGTAAGTGGGCAGAGGAATCATCACCCAGGCCCATAAAATACACTCAGATTTGATTTAAAGGTATATTCTTCACAGCTTTTCTGAACATTACAAAACTGAAACAAGATACAAGAACAATTGCTGCCGGCTAAAGTGAAGCAAGTAATGCAATGCCAGGCGTTCTTCCAAGTACCATCACTAAAATAAATGCTGCCAGGTTAACTGAGTCATCACACGGAACATATTGCCTATTAAGGCATGTTGGTTTAAACCTTCCAACAGGGCATATTACACTGATGGCTGTCGTCATTCTCTGTATTAGTGCTTTCAAACTATATTACCATATGCCCCACCCAGTAAGATAGTAATATCTTAGTGCAGGTCACAGACGAAAATGCACATTATTTTATTTATATTAAACAGGAAAGATTACAAATCCCTGTTACTATGAACAGAGATTTAAAACATGTTTGCACTGAGAGGTTGCCATGAGTTTTTATTATTAATTTATATTTTTGTTAATTTTGTAACTAAAAATATGTTGCTATATGTCTGACTCTTTTTTAGACTGTGGATAGAAGATATGGGATTGATTGCTGCTGCCAGGTCCAAACCACAATGAGACGACGTGTACAGTCAGCAGCACAGCCAACTACAAGACACTGACTAAGCAAAGTGGCTCAATGCAGATTAACAAGAGGAAAGGAATTATGAAGCTCTGTGTCTAAACCTGTCTATCCATATCCCTCTGATCCCTCTGACTGTCCCACACAGTACAGAGTTCAGATTCTTACAGCTGTGATTGAGATCTTTTTAAATGTCTGTTACTGCAGTATCATTGCAGCATTGTTGGATACAGTCCTGCAGTACTTTTCTGTTGCTGTGATTACATTCCAGTGAGCTAAAAAATACAGCTTTGCCTGGGAAAAACCACACAGGGTGGGACTTTGTTGCTTTTTTCCAGCCTGGTTCCCTGAACCTCAAGCTTCCCTGTGTGTATTTATATGACATTCATGCAGATCATCTGACTGGATTTGCTTAGACTACTATGTCTCAAACAGAAAGGTCCTCTAATTTTTGCTTGATGATAGAAGACTATCTGCAGCTCAGTTTATTCTTGATAAATAAACAAGATGAATTAGCGGTTTGCTAACCATGAGATTTACATACCGAGTATTACACAGGCTATGTCCAGCAGGATGAGAGGGACTCCCGAGGCTTCAAACATGTTGCGCCTTCTCCTTTTGGCGCTTGCCTTAGTCAAAAATGTTCCGTCCCGGATGGTGTCAGGAGAGACGAGACGCAGCCTTTCTGGCGCACACTGTTCACTATTCCATCACAAAATATATATGTGTGTATAGAAAAAAACACCAGTGTCGTGCTACCACCAACTACCGAGGGATAAAAAAAATAACCTACTCTAAGTCAAAAATACTCAACTAAATCTAGTCTAACAGCACCGCACACGTCAAAAGCGTCTCTCACCCGTGCAACTGCTCAATAAGCATCCTAACAGAGAAGGATTTGTTCAGCTTATAATACTGTCCCGTCCTGGGGAACAGACACGAACCGTTAAGTGCGGACACAAGCGCTCCTCTCCAGGTATGAGAAATGCTGCCTTCCCGGACCGTAGGCAATGGGAGAATGCCAGGGGAAACCTTTGAACTGCTGAGTTGTAACACTGAGTGGGCGGAGAGAGCGTGGCCATAAAAGTAAAAGTCATCACAGATTTAGACATACAGCACTTGTCATACAAAGAAATAAAATATGATAGGCCTAAATAAAAATGCAAGTAAATAAACAGGCTAATAATAATAAATTGTATATATTTCTCAAAATTGTTAAAACTACTTTAATTATATTGTTTGTGGTATTGTCTTGGGTTCTATTGTTTTCTATGATTTTGCTTAATAAAAATAGGTAGCCAACCAGGCACAGGATCAGAGGGCCAAGGGGTTACCACAAATAAAAGTACAAAAAAATAGGCCTACAAAATGTCATGGGAGGTACACAGATTGGCCAGAAAGAAGAAAGAGACACAAAAGAATTACAAGCTATAGTACATGACTGCATGGCCTGTGGTCATTTTGTGTCTTTTTACAGGGCGGGGGTCTTCAACATATCTGTACCGAGGGCCCTAGTGTGTCATAATGCTAGTAAGGGTTAGGTCTTCTAGTTTCTGTCTTTAATAGTCTACCTTTCACAACAAGTACTAGTATCATTAACATTATTGTCTACTGTCTACTTTCTGTCCCATGTGATCTCCTGACTGGAGTAAAGTCCTGTTTGTCAAGTAAACGCAATGAGGACTGAGGTCTTTACTGCTACCACACAGACCTTGTGTTTAATTTCTGATGTGTACATGAATGCAGCACAGCACAGGGAAGTGGTATCAGGAGTTTCGGGCCTATAGCGCGTCCGCGGTCACGTTACGACAGGGGTAGGCTGATGCAGAGCTGCTCCTCCTCGCAGTGGTCTGCAGAGGTAATGACATCAGTAACACTATTAATAGAGGAGAGACCGTTGTCTCATGAATGCACAGTATAGGAGATTAGATATCGGTAGTGGTACATTTATCGCAACCTATATGTCCTGAAAGGCCTTTTAAATTCAACATCCGTGGACAGTACTTTTTATGTGATAGTAAATGTGTTACATTTAGAACCACCAGTGTCAAACACGGTGTTGTTTCTCTCTAAGCCCTTCTCATGTAGTTCTCCCTTTCCTCTCATTGTTCACCTTAATACCTTTTAAGCATGGATCGATTATAAAACCAGTCTACTTCATTGTATTTACATTGCGCTAATTTGCAGTTTGAGACAATAAACAACATTGTGTGCATAATCAGCTTCTAAGTCAAAGTGGTACAGGTATGTCATTTATTAAAAGATAATTTGTTTTCTTGTGGTTTTCTTGAAGGTGGCGGCATGGCTCTTGTTATTTTTGACCTCTGTGAGAGCAAAAGAGCAAGAGGGAGGTAAATGGGTTCAACCTAAGTGTTCTTTGTGTCAATAACTAATCCGCAAAGATGAAGCCTCTCATAACAGGACAGCGCTGGTTTATTTGTGTGTAGAAACACTGGTAAGTTGCGTAAATATTAACCTGCAATTGCATACGCTTAAGAAAGTAATGATAAATGTAAACAAAGAAACATGCAAGTCTAATTCTTGATAATTTTATTTATAATGTTGTTTTACTAAAATTCAACTTAGGTCCTTTTGCTGCTACTTTCACCAAGGAAATGTAAGAAAACCACATTAAAACACAAAATATTAGGTAAGACTTTTTCCTGCCTTCACTATGAGGTAAGATATGAGGTAAGACAGCTGGCAGTAATATGTGTATTAGTCCATGTTTGTGCATAAATTAAGTTGTATGCAAAAATGTGTTTTCGCAAATTGTTGTATAAGTCAAATGCTATATTAAATATGTAGTGTGTATTTTGCCTGTGAGTTACAAATTCAAGAAATTACAAATAAGTGAAACCCTTGGCTTGTGCTTTCCTCAATATGAATATGAATTTACAGCAGTGACCTGACTGAAATAGGTCACGGGGTCACAGGAATATTGCACTGAGCAGAAGATACATTGAAGTCAAAGTGTTTATTTGTCATAT